TTAACTTAATCTCTTAAAGGCAACATGACATGAAATACCTTATTTACATATGTAACATATGTTTACTGGAGACTTTTAGAGATGAATTCCACTTTCCAAGAATGGGAGTGAATTGAACTGCTTATTGTGCTATTTTAAAGGTTCCTATTTTCGATTTGGAGGTCTCTTACAATAGGTTAACAACAAAGTCGAAAACACTTTTCAAAAACAATTTTCTTATAATATACATTCCAACATCAGCTGTGTCAGAAACTTTTCGATAAAGGATTCTGTCGCTCTAAACCCCTCCTTTTGAGAACCTTTTACTATAATTTACTATGACGTTTTACTATGATTTACAAAAAAATGTTGGTGAAACATTTTCACACTTAAAAATATTGGATTAAATTGTAATGCAATGAAATCAGTTACATATATGCAAGTAGAAAAAAAAAATAAGCAGATCTGAGTAACTGCATTTGCCAATAAACATACAGTGCACAGTTCTGAGAACATTTTTCATCCAAAATAATTATATTTATTATGATTGGGAATAAAGTTATGTGTTTTATGTGCGAGGCATCATGCATTTCAATCAGGCGAAAAGACAGACATGACACTAATGTAGATTGGTCTACTCTGTTCTGATTGGTCAGATGCCTCAGTCTGTTGTGATTGGTCTACTCTGTTCTGATTGGTCAGATGCCTCAGTCTGTTGTGATTGGTCTACTCTGTTCTGATTGGTCAGATGACCCAGTCTGTTGTGATTGGTCTACTCTGTTCTGATTGGTCAGATGACCCAGTCTGTTGTGATTGGTCTACTCTGCTCTAATTGGTCAGATGGCTTAGTCTGATGTGATTGGTCTACTCTGCTCTGATTGGTCAGATGACCCCGTCTGTTGTGATTGGTCTACTCTGTTCTGATTGGTCAGATGACCCAGTCTGTTGTGATTGGTCTACTCTGCTCTAATTGGTCAGATGGCTCAGTCTGTTGTGATTGGTCTACTCTGCTCTAATTGGTCAGATGGCTCAGTCTGTTGTGATTGATCTACTCTGCTCTGATTGGTCAGATGACCCAGTCTGTTGTGATTGGTCTACTCTGCTCTGATTGGTCAGATGACCCAGTCTGTTGTGATTGGTCTACTCTGCTCTGATTGGTCAGATGACCCAGTCTGTTGTGATTGGTCTACTCTGCTCTAATTGGTCAGATGGCTCAGTCTGTTGTGATTGATCTACTCTGCTCTGATTGGTCAGATGACCCAGTCTGTTGTGATTGGTCTACTCTGCTTTGATTGGTCAGATGGCCCAGTCTGTTGTAATTGATCTACTCTGCTCTGATTGGTCAAATGACCCAGTCTGTTGTGATTGGTCTACTCTGCTCTGATTGGTCAGATGACCCAGTCTGTTATGATTGGTCTACTCTGCTCTGATTGGTCAGATGACCCAGTCTGTTGTGATTGGTCTACTCTGCTCTGATTGGTCAGATGGCCCAGTCTGTTGTGATTGGTCTACTCTGCTCTGATTGGTCAGATGAACCAGTCTGTTATGATTGGTCTACTCTGCTCTGATTGGTCAGATGACCCAGTCTGTTGTGATTGGTCTACTCTGCTCTGATTGGTCAGATGACCCAGTCTGTTGTGATTGGTCTACTCTGCTCTGATTGGTCAGATGACCCAGTCTGTTGTGATTGGTCTACTATTGCTCTAATTGGTCAGATGGCTCAGTCTGTTGTGATTGGTCTACTCTGCTCTGATTGGTCAGATGGCCCAGTCTGTTATGATTGGTCTACTCTGCTTTGATTGGTCAGATGACCCAGTCTGTTGTGATTGGTTTACTCTGCTCTGATTGGTCAGATGGCTCAGTCTGTTGTGATTGGTCTACTCTGCTCTGATTGGTCAGGTGGCCCAGTCTGTTATGATTGGTCTACTCTGCTTTGATTGGTCAGATGACCCAGTCTGTTGTGATTGGTCTACTCTGCTTTGATTGGTCAGATGACCCAGTCTGTTGTGATTGGTCTACTCTGCTCTGCTCTGATTGGTCAGATGACCCAGTCTGTTGTGATTGGTCTACTCTGCTCTGATTGGTCAGATGGCCCAGTCTGTTGTGATTGGTCTACTCTGCTCTGTTTGGTCAGATGGCCCAGTGTGTTGTGATTGGTCTTCTCTGCTTTGATTGGTCAGATGGCCCAGTCTGTTGTGATTGGTCTACTCTGCTCTGATTGGTCAGATGCCTCAGTCTGTTGTGATTGCTCTACTCTGCTCTCATTGGTCAGATGGCCCAGTCTGTTATGATTGGTCTACTCTGCTCTGATTGGTCAGATGACCCAGTCTGTTGTGATTGGTTTACTCTGCTTTGATTGGTCAGATGGCCCAGTCTGTTGTGATTGGTCTACTCTGCTCTGATTGGTCAGATGGCTCAGTATGTTGTGATTGGTCTGCTCTGCTCTGATTGGTCAGATTGCCCAGTCTGTTGTGATTGGTCTACTCTGCTCTGATTGGTCAGATGACCCAGTCTGTTGTGATTGGTCTACTCTGTTCTGATTGGTCAGATGACCCAGTCTGTTGTGATTGGTCTACTCTGCTTTGATTGGTCAGATGGCCCAGTCTGTTGTGATTGGTCTACTCTGTTCTGATTGGTCAGATGGCCCAGTCTATTGTGATTGGTCTACTCTGCTCTGATTGGTCAGATGGCTCAGTCTGTTGTGATTGGTCTACTCTGCTCTGCTCTGATTGGTCAGATGGCCCAGTCTTTTGTGATTGGTCTACTCTGCTCTGATTGGTCAGATGACCCAGTCTGTTGTGATTGGTCTGCTCTGCTCTGATTGGTCAGATTGCCCAGTCTGTTGTGATTGGTCTACTCTGCTCTGATTGGTCAGATGACCCAGTCTGTTGTGATTGGTCTACTCTGTTCTGATTGGTCAGATGACCCAGTCTGTTGTGATTGGTCTACTCTGCTTTGATTGGTCAGATGGCCCTGTCTGTTGTGATTGGTCTACTCTGTTCTGATTGGTCAGATGGCCCAGTCTATTGTGATTGGTCTACTCTGCTCTGCTTTGATCAGTCAGATGGCCCAGTCTTTTGTGATTGGTCTACTCTGCTCTGATTGGTCAGATGGCTCAGCCTGTTGTGATTGGTCTACTCTGCTCTGCTTTGATCAGTCAGATGGCCCAGTCTTTTGTGATTGGTCAGATGACCCAGTCTGTTGTGATTGGTCTGCTCTGCTCTGATTGTTCAGATGGCCCAGTCTGTTGTGATTGGTCTACTCTGCTCTGATTGGTCAGATGACCCAGTCTGTTGTGATTAGTCTACTCTGCTTTGATTGGTTAGATGGCCAAGTCTGTTGTGATTGGTCTACTCTGTTCTGATTGGTCAGATGGCCCAGTCTATTGTGATTGGTCTACTCCGCTCTGATTGGTCAGATGGCTCAGTCTGTTGTGATTGGTCTACTCTGCTCTGCTCTGATTGGTCAGATGGCCCAGTCTTTTGTGATTGGTCTACTCTGCTCTGATTGGTCAGATGGCTCAGTCTGTTGTGATTGGTCTACTCTGCTCTGCTCTGATTGGTCAGATGCCCCAGTCTTTTGTGATCGGTCTACTCTGCTCTGATTGGTCAGGTGACCAGTCTGTTGTGATTGGTCTGCTCTGCTCTGATTGGTCAGATGGCCCAGTCTGTTGTGATTGGTCTACTCTGCTCTGATTGGTCAGATGACCCAGTCTGTTGTGATTGGTCTACTCTGCTTTGATTGGTCAGATGGCCCAGTCTGTTTTGAATGGTCTGCTCTGCACTGATTGGTCAGATGACCCAGTCTGTTGTGATTGGTCTACTCTGCTTTGATTGGTCAGATGGCTCAGTCTGTTGTGATTGGTCTACTCTGCTCTGCTCTGATTGGTCAGATGCCCCAGTCTTTTGTGATCGGTCTACTCTGCTCTGATTGGTCAGGTGACCCAGTCTGTTGTGATTGGTCTGCTCTGCTCTGATTGGTCAGATGGCCCAGTCTGTTGTGATTGGTCTACTCTGCTCTGATTGGTCAGATGACCCAGTCTGTTGTGATTGGTCTACTCTGCTTTGATTGGTCAGATGGCCCAGTCTGTTATGAATGGTCTGCTCTGCACTGATTGGTCAGATGACCCAGTCTGTTGTGATTGGTCTACTCTGCTCTGATTGGTCAGATGGCTCTGTCTGTTTTGATTGGTCTACTCTGTTCTGATTGGTCAGATGACCCAGTCTGTTGTGATTGGTCTACTCTGCTTTGATTGGTCAGATGGCCCAGTCTGTTGTGATTGGTCTACTCTGTTCTGATTGGTCAGATGACCCAGTCTGTTATGATTGGTCTACTCTGTTCTGATTGGTCAGATGGCCCAGTCTGTTGTGATTGGTCTACTCTGTTCTGATTGGTCAGATGACCCAGTCTGTTGTGATTGGTCTACTCTGCTCTGATTGGTCAGATGTCCCATTCTGTTGTGATTGGTCTACTCTGCTCTGATTGGTCAGATGACCCAGTCTGTTGTGATTGATCTACTCTGCTCTGATTGGTCAGATGACCCAGTCTGTTGTGATTGGTCTACTCTGCTCTGATTGGTCAGATGACCCAGTCTGTTGTGATTGGTCTACTCTGCTCTGATTGGTCAGATGACCCAGTCTGTTGTGATTGGTCTACTCTGCTCTGATTGGTCAGATGACCCAGTCTGTTGTGATTGATCTACTCTGCTATGATTGGTCAGATGGCCCAGTCTTTTGAGATTGTTATTGCTTTCTTTGCCTTATTATACAATTGCCTTATCTTTTCTTTGCCTATTACCAAATGCCTAATAACACTGGCAAATTAACGTTTTTACTTACTGCTTTGCTGTTACTTCAGAGTGGGAAAAATTTTTTGGTTTGCAGAGGAACTTTTGAGGATTTAAAAGTACTTTTTTAAAAAAATTCAGTACACATAATTTTGTTAGGTGTTCATCTGTGCATGTTTAGAGTGAAGACATAATTATTAAACTGATATGTATTCTTTCTCCTGTCTGTTAACAGGTCTCTTTATCCATCAGTCCTTTCAGTGCTGTTGTGACCCTGATCCTGCCCAGTGTGTTAATAATGCTGGCTGACCTGGTAACTTTTTCTCTGCCAGTTCAAGGAGGAGAACGCAACAGCCTTAAGGTCACCTTAGTCCTGAGTTTCACCATGTTCCTCCTCATCCTCAATGATCACCTAAGCAGTGGTGGACGATGTAGCCCTATCCTTCGTAAGTGGAAAAAAAAACAAGCCTTTTGCACACCTTTCAGTGTGTCCTGGGCAGCAGTCATATTGTGATGCATTATAATAGAAATGGCCTTGTTGCATACTTTACGCAGATTTACACGTTGTGTTGAATGTATTTAAAGTTGGCATAAAATGAAAGTTGCATCCGACAATACACTATGCAGCGTGGGATGACGGCCCTAGATACTTTATAAAGACAGTTCACTTCGTGTACACAGACAGGAGCCATCTTGGAAAACAGTCACGACAAGTGCGCGCAGTAGGTATGGCGTACCATACCGCGTACCCTTCGCCGTAGCCTCATGCGCACCTCCTCAAAAATGTAACTACACGTAGCAAGTTTGGACAATGTCTGAGGCTTCAGACACATGCAGTGGTTTCTTGAAAGCAGGCCAGCAGCGGAGAAAACCCTCTCTGTGCTCGCAGACCCGCTCGCAGACCCGCTTGGGGATGCTGAATAGAATGCAAGCAACTTTAGTCAGGCGGAGAAAGACGTGGAGTTTTCTTGTGGTGTTCTTTTAAAAATGCCGCTCTGCGCCCACTTTTAAAAATGCCGCTCTGCGCCAAGATCCGCCCACTCACGCTCCCCACTCGCTCCAAGCTCCACTCCGCTCACATGCTCTGGTCTGAAATCAGTTATAGTTCTTGTGTTTCTGCTCGTCTCTTTTTCTATTCTCTTCTTTCCCTTAGTAAAGGGATAGTTCACTTTGAAATTAATTTTTGATATGTTTTAGCTTACCTCAAGGGCATCCAAGATGTAGGTGTCTTTGTTTCCACAGTATTTTCAATTTTGATATTCTTAGGTCAAACCGTTCTTGTCTGTCAGTCATATAATGGAGGTATATGGGGTCCACCTGAAAAGGCATGCACAGAGAAGTCCAAATTAAACATGATTTAATGACTCGTAAATGTAAGTAGGCTACACATTGATGGCGTAAGACACGAAACGAGCGGTTTGTGTGAGAAAACGAACAGTCTCGCGTTTGCTGGCTTATAACGTTTTTACATGATTTCTGCTAAATCACAAGTAAATAGCCTAGAGTGTAGGACTAATGTATAATTTCATTTGTATTTTTTGAGAGTAATGTAAACATTACAAAATGTCAGATGACATCAGTAAAGTTAAATGTACTGTATGTCGCATTATTTCATAACATTGCATTATTACAATTTATCATAATGGTTGGCAAATTGTGCTCAATGACACTATTTACAACCTCTAGTCTAGGCTTATATATGTCCTAATAATTATGTGAGATATTGGGCCCTATTTTAACGATCTGAAACGCAAGTGTCAAAGCGCAAAGCGCAAGTAACTTTGTGGGCGGGTCCCGGCGCTGTTGCTATTTTCCCGGCGGGATAAATGCCTCTTGCGCCTGGTGCAAATCTAAAAGAGGTTGGTCTGAAGTAGCTTCATTATTCATAGGTGTGGTTTGGGCGTAACGTGAAAATAAACCAATCCGAGCGCCATCCAACATACCCTTTAAGAACAGGTGCGCATGTTGCATGACAGATTGTTATTATAACGGCGGGTTTACCAGGAGCGTTCACAGCCGATGAGACCGACGTTCTTGTCAGGACAGTGAAAGATAGAGAAGTGACGTTGTTTGGGGATGGGAGAAACCAACACTATCTCACGACCAATTCGTACGAATTCGACGCATGATTAAAAAGTGTCTAATTCGTACTAATTCGTACGACCTCACTCGTACTAATTCGTACGATTTGTCTAAACCCACGTGATGGTTAGGTTTAGGGGCGGGGTCAGGGGTAGGTCATTCGTACGAATTCATTCGAATTGGCCAATTCGTAAAATATGTACGAATTAGCAAAATCGTATTAATTCGTACGAGTGAGGTCGTATGAATTGTTACGAATTAGCCACTTTTTAATCATTCGTCGAATTCGTACGACTTGGTCGTGAGATCTGGTTGGAGAAACCCTCGCACATCAGCGTCGGTTAAACATTATATACTTATGTTTCTTGCCACTATTGGGCAAACAGGTCTGATCCTTTAGTACTACAATTAGCCTTAAAAAATGGGTAATAAGGTTTTTTCATCTTCATGTAAACCACAATGATTTCCCTCATGTTTTAATATTTTTCCTTGTTATAATGCATGATTTGCAAAAATAAAAACTGCTGCATTTGTGTTGATGAGAGAATCAAAGTGTATGCGTGCTGTGCACCCACTAAATTATGGCCAAGCATGCGCGCTTAAAATAGCATTATGAACAACGCGCAACACGCCACTGACTTTAGACCAGTTTTTTTCTGATCAGTGGCGCAATTGTGTTCTGGAAGTGTAAAATAGCACCAGGGAAGGTTTGTGCCGAAACACGCCTCCTTTTTGCGCCGATCCGCCCAGGGAGCGCAAGTTAATTTCCTAGTTTACTGACGTGCGTCTGTAGAGGGAAAAATCCAGCTTTGCGCGTGTTCAAAATAGGAATGAGACATCCACAAATGCACGCAAGAGATCCACACATGCAAATCCATCCACAAATGCACGTGACAGATCCTAACACACACATCCACAGATGAACACAAGAGATCCACACACACACACACACACACACACAGCGATCCACAAATGCACGCGAGATATCCACACACTCAATTGTCCTTACTCACATGGCTTTTTTCACAATCCACAAATGCTTTATCTGTACCTGTAATTTCATGCACAGCGAATCACGTGACTTTTAAGACTGTTGTTCCACGGTCTTGATTCACAAATGCACACAAGCCGATCTGTCCACATGACCCAACATTATGAAGCTGCAGACTCGGAGCCTGCATCTACAGTCCCCCACCGAGAGTCCCGCATTCTCAGACCCCTCGTGTTTCGAACACAGCGCCTCCTGCTGTTCAAAAGATCGAATAACACCCGCACACAGAGTACAGCGCACGGTTATCCAAATGCAATTAAAAACAATAGGATGCAATATGACGGTCTCCAAATAAATTATCCAATAAATATTTGCATTCCCTGCTTAATGCATGTGCAAAATAAATTAATAATTGTTACTGATGGAAGGGATACAATTACAGATTGAACTATCTTCAGAAAAATAGTATGTGATATTATATTGCTGCAATGTTTTTTGTTTTTTCAAATTCCAATTTTTCTTTCAGTTCAACCTATAATGGTCTAATTAACATTACCATGCTTACATTACAAAATCTGTTTTTTGATATTTTGAATGCGAAGCAAAACAAAACAGAATAGACAAAACACCCATAATAAACAATTCCGTACTTTATTTAATGATCACCTAACCATCATCTTGCTGTAAAGAAAAAAGGAAGAAAAAACTGTGTTCGTGACATTATTTTAGTCTTCAATTGCATTAAAAAACTCATTTATATGTCGCTTTGCATAATCATAAAATGATGTTGCTGGGTTCGGCAGGGGCAACTCCATCGATGTATGGTGTATTATTGTTATTGTACACTGATGAAAAAATAAGATGAAAAAACATTGTTACAAACTAACTTTACAAATATTCAATGGACTATGTTGTATCGATGAGCTAAATTAGTTTTATTAAAAAAATAAATCAAACGAGTAGGCTATCGCTAAATAAAATTGAAGATAGCCTACTCACGTTTTATACGATACAATTTGATAGGAGGCGCTGTCTCGAAAAACGAGGGGTCTGAGAATGCGGGACTCTGGGTGCAGGGGGACTGTAGATGCAGGTCTCCGAGTCTGCAGCTTCATACTACTCACATGACCTGCAAGGAAGCGATATGGTGTCTTCCTCCAGAGGGCGCTAACCGGCCTTTGAGCTGAGTCTTTCAAAGGGCTGGATTCATTTAGTTTTCTGATTTTCGAGACAACTGAAGTCTAAACATTTGTCACTAAATATCGTATACATAAATACAAATAAAGAGTAAAAACAAACCTCTTTTTTATTCTTCATCGTATAATCAGAGTATACAGCCTATTTAAGAAAACCATTCCGATAACAGGACAGCTTTACAAAGTCTTTAAATTATTTCTGTAACTGTTTGCCTCGCTTCTGTAACTGATCAATGCCCTTTTTCACCCAAATCTGTTTACCTCAATTTAAAGTGGTTTTCATGTTGTGGTTGCTTTGTAATAACCATTGCCTTGAATTGAGTAGGCTATATCATTCAGTCTCATTATTTAGTTGAAATAATATCCCCCCACACACTTTTTCTATTTAACTCTTTCTTGATACACTTACAAATTAATCCGATTCACCTCAAAAGGAGCGACTGAGGCAATTCTCAAACTTTTGCATGTAATGGTTTGCTTGGGAATTGTTTACGTGAGGGTAATACTTGTGACTTCTTTTGAAAGAAAATCTTTTACTTTGTCTGTTAAATTATGTAGAAGCATTCATCCTTTCTTTAAAAATAAGCAAACATATAGGTAATTGCTGAAATGATATTATTCTCCAATTAAAATGTGTGTGTGTGGGGGGGGGGGGTGGTATATAGCCTACTCTGATTTTACGTTGAAGAATAAAAAAAGAAGTTTAGTTTTTGTAAGGCTCCAGCTTGTAATGACTCTCCCTGCCTCTAGTTGGTGCTGAGCTGTAATGATTCTCCCAGCCACTAGGTGGCTCAGCTTCTGTAATTGTTATCACTCATTACTATTTGATTTATCCCACCTGTGTGGTTCATTAGCTTGTTTGTATTGGCCTATTTAAGTATGTCTCTTTCTCACAGTTGTGTTCAGTCTTGAGCCTACCATGCCTGTAGTTTCCTTGCCAAGGAAGCTTAAGTCGGTAACATTTTGTTTCTTTGATTTATTCTCTGGAAGCTCGGCTTCCTTTTTTGTTGTACCTTTTAAAGTTGGATTCTTCAGTAAAGACACCTTTTGTTCAACCATTTAAGTATTCAAGTTGTTCTTCTGCCCTTGGGTCCATCTGTTTTTGAGATCCACAATAGCCCAGAGGTTAAGAAGCAGCTCAGATGGCTAGAAGACCAGGGTTCGATCCTAGCCTCAGTCACCTATCACTTTTTTACTATATATATGTATACGATATTTAGTGACAAATGTTTAGACTTCAGTTGTCTCGAAAATCAGAAAACTAAATGAATCCAGCCCTTTGAAAGACTCAGCTCAAAGGCCTGTCCTCTGGAGGAAGACGCCATATTGCATCCTTGGAAGTTTTGTCAACAGATCGGCTTGTGTGCATTTTTGAATCAAGACCGCGGAACAACAGTCTCAAAAGTCACGTGATTCGCTGTGCATGAAATTACAGGTACAGATAAAGCATTTGTGGATTGTGAAAAAAACTTGCATGGCTGTTTTTTCCGGCAGCGTCTCCCCCAAGCTTTATTACCAGGATGATTCGCCCTACTATGACTTTGTTTACCACCGAAACAACTTTGAAGCTGTTATATTAAGGTACAGATCTTGCATAGAGCGCCTTTAATATACACAGATTTTGTGTCTCAGATAAAGTCCAGTTCTGGTTTATTTCTTTGCTCTTGTCTGAAATGTGGCATTGCCATGACCTGCTTGTGGCCCACCCAAGGGCCGTCATTCCACGCTGCATGTGGGCCAGATCCGCATCCCATGAGTGCCAGATGCTGGGCCGAAACAATGTTGCTATTTTATACAATGCTAAATTATTAATTGCTCTGTATTTTGCTCCAAAGATTATCATTTCTGCTTCTGTCTGGTCAATCTGGTGTTCAGCATGATGGTGTCTATTTGTTTGACACGTCTGACGTTGAATGACACAATCCTGTCTTGGAAATGCTCAAAGAACAATAAAAAACACAAAAAAACTGTGAGCCTGGGTCAGGATGAAGGTAAGAGAATACTAAATACAGCTACCATTAATAGCTTGATACCAACTTGTAGTGTGTTCATGCACTCATATATATATATATATATATATATTTTTTTTTTTTTTCCCATTAGCAGATGCTGGGGTGATTGCAACAAAAACGTTCAGCGATCTGCCTTCAGAAGTGGCTTCCCTCCAAAAAGTAGTCACTTTTTTGGAAAACATTGACCAAAAAGCGGAAGTGACAAGCAGCAACGAGTCTTTTGTGGATGGCTTGGATAAAATCTGTTTCTGTTTTTTTTTATTCATTGACATAATTTATATCATCGTTGTTGTAATTATCACCAGAACAGACTTGTGCAAAGAAAAAAGGAAGGAATTATGGGTTAACGAAGATTTCTATGATCCTCCTTATACAAATGGGCATATACATTATTATGACAACTACAGTTTTTATGATTACTTTTTTAAATTTTGAAATAACATATTGATTTGATTATTGTAAAATTGACATTGGTGATTTGGATCTACATAATTTCTGTATGCGATTTCCAAGAAAGAGGATTTAATTTAGTGTTGTCTTTGCCTATTTTTTTATTTTATTTTTAACAATATAATAAATTGTACATATTAATTTACACATTTGAGGAATTGTATTAACCGTGTCATCAATAAAGGCTTTTGCTTTTATTGTGTTGATGTTGAAAATTAAAATATGTCGTCATGTGTTTATAGGGGATTTGGGATAGAGGGCTCCTAGTGTATTTGTTGCTCAAACTTTTATTGATATTATTACACATTGAAGTTTTAAATAAAAAAAAATTGCATGTTTTTTAAACCTTTCCATGTTTCATCATCATGTTTTACGCCAGTTTAGTGTAATTTGTTGTTTATTTAGCGTCTGGTGTAAAATGCAATATAAAAGAAGTGAATGAAACATTATGTGATCACATAAAACTCAACTAGGAAATAGGTTGCTTGAAACAGGAAGTCTTACATATTTCTGGCATGAAACTTTGAATGTTGCAGGCTGATCACTCTTAGTAGTCTATATAAGGGAACTTATGTTAAAAAATGACTTATTACCCCCTTGATTGATGGTTTTGACAGGTGTTTATGACAGGATATGTACATGGGATGGGTTTTTACAGGATATGGATGGGGAGGGGTTTATTACTATAGGGTGTTTTTTGGTGACCTTTTGGCCGTGAGTGTTTCCAGATTGAGTTTATGATGCCCCAATCTGCTTTGTGTAACTCTTAGGAATGGGGAAGTTTTTATTATTGAGAATAATATCCACAGAATGATGAAATTATGAACAGAGGATCCGCGGATATAATTTCGGATGGATGAGCGATGTCTGTGGAAGAGAATGAAAAGAGTTTAAAGAAATTGCATTGATGACAAAAAAGCTTATAAAATAAATTAAACAAGATGTTAACGCTATGGTATACAAAAATTGTTCATTATTAATATCCTCGTTTATATGCTGGTTGTGGTTATATAGTACAATCCTAACAATATGAATAGAAAAAAGAATGAAAAAAATCCATTCACTCTATTGGCTGTACAGCCTCATAGAAGTTGACCAATGTAAGCCGTCCGGCCGGACAGCTTACATTGGTCAACTGCTCTCATCCAATCACCAGCTCCACTTGAAACTCCGCCTGGCACTCGTGTCTCCAATCCAACCGCACCCAAACCCCGCCCCCTCCTTACATGAGCAAGTGCAGCTGACAGACAGTCTATGGTAGCTAGCTAAGTAGCGTCATATCAGCAATGGATAAAAATAAACAACTTTGCGTCTGTAGATTTTTCATAAATTCAACAAAAGTTGGCATTGTAAATCATCTGCAACGTCATCATAGACACTGTTAGAAAGCTCTCTCTCTCTCCTAAACAATGTTGTCGGATCCAAATATGGTCATTTCCTTCTAATCAGCAACCAATCACTAAAGTAAAAGGGAGGATTTAACTCTAAATGAGCAATCTCATTGGCTGATGTCTTTAGAGTGAAATCTTTAGAGCCCGTTTTGCGTTTTCTCAAAATGACTTTTCTCTGAAACTCCAAGTCTGAAATCTCCACTTCAGTAGCACCTATGTACACCAAACTTTCCAGTCTTGTACCTAGTTTTATTATGAAGACTTTACAGATGGATTTGTAAATATATTATTCCTAGCTTGATTTATGTAACATTGTTTTTCCAAAAACATGGCGAAAATCTATTTAAGGCTATCTGATTACAGGATAACAAAAGTAGATATCCATAAATATCTATTTTTTCCGCCATCTATGATGTGAACACAATGAAACAATTATTTTAAACCTGGCTTTATCTAATAGGCTACTCAGATTTCGTTTTTTTTTTTTTTTAAATATATGCACATTCGCACATGTTTAATTAGACAATGCTTAATAATTTAAGACTTGAGACTTGACTTGGACTCGTGGCAAAAGACTTGAGACTTGACTTGAGCTTGCCCCTCAAAGACTTGAGACTTGACTTGGACTCGAGCTGAAAGACTTGAGACTTGACTTGGACTTCCAAAAAATGACTTGTGAACATCTCTGACTCTAAGAAGGATAAATATAGGGTCCACTATTGACCGTTGGGAGGAAGCTTCAGGGTGATCTGGGACTGAAAACCGACGCTGACACGGATGACTTTTTGTTGAGCAGGTAAACATTTATTTATACTTTTATATTGTGACGTGTGTTACATAAATAGCTTTTTATCAGTTTGACAACATGCTCATGCTGCCGGCTGGCATTGGCAATGTTAGCCGTTTAGCATCGCCGGTCGCGGGTCAAAGTAATTATATTTCTTGAAGTCCTTGAATATATTTCAGTATGCCTAGCGGTTTCTGTTCGAGACGATCGGAATTTGAACAAGATGCGCTGTGTGCTGCAATAACAATTACTCAAAACCTTAGAAGAACATTTCATGTGTTGCTAGTCTTGCGTTGACATGAACTCAAACGTGACATAGCTCAGGGATCAGGTAACACAGAGGGGATGGGTGTGTGTGTGTGGAGGGGCGGGATGAGTTTTTTAAAACTTCCCTACCATCTCGACCGATTTTTAACATCGTATACCATAGCTTTAAGTTTATTAGGTATTTAAAAGTAAGCTTTATCCATGTGTTAAACTTAGTGAGGCGATAGTTATGCGTCTATCTGGATAGTTGCAGAATCTTAAATGCAGATGAAATGTCAGAAATATTTTTTAAAAATAAAAGCATTGTACTTGAATAAATGCATATAAATACTGATTAAATGAAATAAGATGTTAAATTTAAAAAGTACTTTAAAGTAAGTTTTAAACATGTGTTAGACTTAATGAGGAGATAGTTATGCGTCTGGATAATGGTGCTGTAAAGGTGAAGAGGAGGCAGTCGAATCCATCTGCAGCACTTTATTCAAACAGGTAATAAACAAGAAATCACTGACATGAACCAAGGGAATACGTAGCAGCATGGCAAAACAAGACTTCGCAATGAACAGACAACTGAACAGTCCAGATAAAGGGTGGATAATGATTTACAGGTGGGAGTCATGACACTGAATGGGAGAACCAGGCAGGGATGGAATCCAATGATAGCAGAGGGGAATGAAGGGAAGTGTAGTTCTAGAACTCAGGAGACAACGAGCGTGAGAGACCGGAGAGAGGTGAGGGCGCGCGCTCAGTGACAGTTGCCGATTCTCAAGTCTTTCTGAGCAAGAAATGGTACAAATAGTTTAAGAAATGAAAATCATTGTGCTTGAATAAAACACATACATGAAACAAAATGTTGAATTGACGACAAGCATTTTAATTTAATACACCCCAATATACTGTCTTAAATAGTTAAATAAAACAGTGAATAATAGTTCTTTATTTGAAATAAGATGTTAAATTATCAGGTATTTTAATCTAATACAACACAATATAATACATCACAATAAGTGTTTTACACCGATAAATAAAATAATGAATAATAGCTATGAAATAAGCTGTTAAATTATCAAGTATTTTAATCTAATACACCACGAAATATGGTCTTACACAGTTACATAAAACATAAATTTGTGAAAATATTTTGTAGTCTACTATTTGAAATAAGATGCTAATTATCAAGTATAAGCATTTTAATATAAATACAGTATACTTGCTTACACAGTTAAATAAAACATAAAATTGTGAAAATAGTTTGTACTATTTGAAATAAGATGCTAATTATCAAGTATAAGCATTTTAATACAATACACCACGAAATACTGCCTTACAGACAAATAAAACATAAATTAGTGAACAATAGTTCACATAATTTTAAATAAGGTTAAATTATGCAGTATTTGACCTAAATATGTTTGAAGTGTACCTACTATTGATGAAATTGGGAGGTCTTTTGGCGCTATATACATACATACACACATACACACATATACATACATACACACACACACACACACACACACACATACATGTATAATATTAAAAAATTAAATAAAAATAATAAATAACAAATAAATAAATCATATATATATATATATATATATATATATATATATATATATATATATATATATGTGTATATATATATATATATATATATATATATATATATATGTGTGTGTGTGTGTGTGTGTGTGTGTTTATTTTTACATTTAGTAGGTGAACCGGAGCGCGTCTCATATTTCAAACACCGCGATGCTTGCCTCACAGACCTGAGAACTAGGCTACAGAAAGCTTTAAATACTTTTAAACAAAACAATTAAAAACGAAAATAAATTGGCAAATCTCTGCGTATGTAGGCTAATTCGAAGTATGCGTTTCTATAGGCCTATGCGCGTTCACTGCGAAGATGGCAAGATAAATAAGCATCACTACTTTATCTTTGCTGCTGACACTGACAGAAAACACTAGTTTATTAATAAACAATTCAAATGTTTCATGCATAATCATTACTTTTGCCGGTTCTTTATGGCAAGATTTATGCATGCGTTGAGATGCGGAAAAGGCAATTATATACGCTCATATGGTTTCTCTCCTATTTAATTAAATCAATATATGTGATTACTGATTAGACAAATGGCTTAAATGATCTACTTCTAGTCGACTAGAAAACTAGGACTCATTTTGAGGAATGAATGAACATAAACAAACCTCTGTTCAGAGTGCCGCCGTGCTGGATTGCATCGGATTCGAGGATTTACCGCGTTTAGGCTAAAAACAGGGCTGGCGCTTATCGCGTTTTGGAAAGAAACTGTATCTTGCCGTACATTTAAAACAGGGAAATATAGCGATTTGGCATGAAACATTGATGGAGCAGCGAAAGGGTTCTGTCCACAGCAGAATGACACGACAAACTCATTTTTTTTAAAAATGGCGTTTATCGCGTTTTGGAAAAGAGCTCTTCATTTCCAATAACATTTTGCTCACTGTTTGAGGGCGTTTGTGATTTCTGTCCACCTTTTCTCTTTCTGGATGCGGTTGTG